CTAGATGGCTCCCACCTACCACTGTCAGCCACTCGGAGGGGGATCTATGTAGGAGAGCCTGGATAGAATGGGACAACGATGTGGACCAAAACTCAAAATCATGAAAAAAAAAAAAAAGGGACCAGGTTTGCTGGTCTGATAGAGCCTGGTGGAACCTCTCAGACTATGAGACTATGGGCCCTAGCTGCCTTTCAGGTCTGGAATTGAACCCACTCCTGTGCTTTCCAGCCGAACAAAAGACAAGCGTATGAGCTGAACATTTACATTAGGTAGATACACTCCTTGGAGAGATCAATCATGGGAGAATAGAAGGACTGTATGTGAACAAAGAGACAGCTCGAGGGCAGGAGTACATGGAGGGAAGGACACAGGGAAGAGGTAACCATGGGGAGGAAGTGGGAGGGAAACTATTGCATTGTGGGAAATTAGTCAACGTGATGAGACGAAGTGTATGTGAGCTGCTGTATAGAAGATGAATTTGCTCTGCAAACTTCCACCCAAATCCCAATAAAATTAAAAAAAAAAAAAAAGTCTGGCAGAGTGAACTGCTGTCCCACACAACATACGCCCTACTCTTCAAAGGGGTCTGGAAGGGCGTCTGGGAGGGAACTTGCCCCTGTGGAGGGTGGCCAGCTACGTGCTGGCCCTCAAAGGCAGCAGCCTCTCTTCCATCACCCAGGCCCTGGAGGCGGTTCTCACAGCCCTCACGTTCAAGGCAGGGTGGCAAAACAGGATGACCTTGCCCGGTCCCAAGGCAGGTGAGGGCCCCCTGCTCCACACAGCCAGTCTACATGGGGCTCCAGCCAGGAGAAGCCCTACTTCACCACCTGCACTCCCAGCTCCGTGTGGCCGGTGCCACCGGGCTGCCTGGGACCCAACAGTACCTGTCCTCCTAGAGAAGCCAAGGCTCTTGGTATCAGGGAGCACCCCCCCAGGGCTTCCCTTGGACACACAAGGAGGCCATGACGGGGCACGGACGATGAGCTGGGGAGTGCCACAACAATAAGAAAGGGAGAAGCCCCTGGCAATGCCCAGGACACCAGAGGCCAGTGGCACCTGGCCTCCCAGTCACACAGACAGGTCGGATGTCTAGCCAATCCCACCAGTTCACCAGCGGACCCTGACTCTTCCTCCCCATACAGGAAGCAACGAAAAGCTCATTCTGACTTTGTTCCCTACCAAAGTCGGAGCCACTCTGCAGACAGAACCCCAAGATATGCCCAGCCTGGGGGCAAGTTGAGCTTGTGAGAGAGCCATGGCACCGAGCCCTTTCCCTGGGGGTCCTTCAAGGAGCAGGAGGGACGGGTAGGGGCCTGAGACACCACAGCTGCTGACAGCAGATCCCAATGACAGCCCCCAAGGCCCAGACTACAGCTGGCTCCAGCTGTGGACACTCGAATGACTCATGGGACCCCGGCCTCCCAGCACCCAGCTCTTGCGGCGACGGCAAAGGAAGGAGTGGGAGGATCTGACTCACGTCAGCTGCTCCGGGAATCACAGGACGTGGTCAGAGCCCACAGGGCGCACAGGGGGCGGGGTGGGGGAATTTTCCACTGGTTAAGGTCAAGGGCTTTGGGAGGCGACTGGTAGCTGCTGGCAGAGCAAGCCACCTTCTCGAAGGTGACCATGGTGCTGCTCACGGGCCAGCCCCCTGGAGAGTTAACATCCCAAGGATTCTCTGTGTGTGTATGCTTCTCAGTAGCATTCCGGGGAAGACACAGAAGAGAGAGGGAAAGTCCAGGGAACCATCTGAAAATTACAGCCTCTATCTTCAGCCCCCAGACAGGGTCCCAGAACAGCAATGCAGCAGTGGTTATTACCAGGCCCTCTGAAAGACACAGGTGGGACAGGGCTGCCATTTACCTGAGACAGATGATTCGTGCATCTAAAGGTGCTCTAATCCCTCCCCTAGTCCCCACCTGCTTGCTGCCTTTTGGAACATTCGGGGTGCAGTCTGCTGGTAGCAAAATGAGAAGCAGCCGGCAGGGTGAGGTGTAGTGGGAGTCGATCCCTGAAACACGAATGATGGAACAGGGAGGGCTTGGGGAAAGGACGACCCTCCTCCCGACCAGAAGAGGTCACGTGCTGCCCCGACCTTTATCTCACTGCACTAGCCTGAGCCCTGCAGGCCAGGCTTGGGGAGGCACAGAGGGAAGATGCTGCCACCACCACCA